TTTATATATGATTATATATATATATATATATATATATATATATATGCCCAGAGTAACACTGAATGTGTTGATTTTTAGAGGACATATAGTTTGATTGCTTGTCCTCAACTATTTGCCTCAGATAAGGTGTGCACCTTTTCTGACAGACTAGATATGTCTGTAATAACTGAGACCACTGGATGGAGAACTGTCATTCTGAATTCAAATGTGACTTGCAGAGCCAAATGATAACTTGGAACATTTTACAAAAGAATGAGGAAAACTTAATCAAACCAGGAGAAGAAGGGCATTAACTACCACAAGTAATAGGTTTGTTCCCTCTGTGAGTGGCTTGCAAGCACTGCTGAAGCATGAAGCTGAACTGCAGGGGTTGAAGTTTCTTCACACTTTTCTAAGTTTATTGCTCAAAAGCCCCACTCTTGGTCACAATGACTTGTCCCCTGTCTCTCTCAGGTCCTGACTTTCTCCTTTTACTTGAGTTTAGTGAGTCTTTTAATATAGCTCTATGTCATGGAGGTTGCTATTTCTTTAACTGTTTTTTCTTTTTGGACTGATTTCTCCGTAAGCATGGAGAAAATGGCAGAGTTGATAACTTACCACTACCTTAAATAGAATGGGGGCCGGCCAAATGGCTCAGTTGGTTAAGAGGGAGAGTTCTGAGCAACAGCGTCGCTGGTTTGATTCCCACATGGGCCATTGAGCTGTGCCCGAGATGAGCTGCCACTGAGCTGCCAACAGGCGGCAGGACGGCTCAGCTGGTGAGAGCACCTGCTCCTAACAACAAAGTTGCCGGTTTGACTCCTGCACGGGATGGTGGTCTGTGCCCCTCCCCCGCCACCCCCAACTAAGATTGAACACAGCTAGGATTGAAGGACAATAACTTGGCTGTTCCCCTTCCCCAAATCCCTAATATTGCCCCCCTCCCCCAATTACTGCCCCCCAATAATAAAATGGGAATAATTGCTGGTTTTTATTGTTGTTTCTGTTCCTTTTGTACCTCTGGTGTAAAATAAATAAGTCTACACCCTCTAAATAATTACTTTGACTGTAGCCCATTTGAAAGTTACGCCAGATTTACTATTGAGCTGGGAGAAAAGCTTCAAAATGGGAATGTCTGAGTGTCTTGGAAGAAGGCAAGCTTTGATTAGATCCCCTGGCAGAAAAGGCCTTTATTATGATGCATTGAAATTTGGGTTTTGGGTTCTGTCAGAGGCCTAAAAGGTTAGAAATGCACAATAATAAAAATAATGAGAAAGTTTTAAGTTTCAATAACAGTTCTAGTATACAATCTGTGGGAAGGACACTGAGTATTTTAAATTTCTAGGAGCATCCTTACACCTACCCCCCCCCCACACACACACCCTTTTCTTCTGGGTGTAGGTCAAGATTGAGCTGTAATCTTCTTAGATTGTCACTGATAATCAATATAAACTCTTGACCAAGTTGTTCTTGGGAACCGATAGCACATACCAGGAAGCCACTTGGGAACCGATAGCACATACCAGAAGCACCTGGAAAAATAGTTTTCATGTTTATTTTTTAAACTCCTGTTTGCAGTAGTCTAAAACTTAGTGAACTATCAGCTTGTAGAATGAACAAATGAGGACATATTTAAGAGACCCGAAATATTGACTTCAGTGACTTACTTATATCTAGACA